CAATTGCTGACGACTACATGAATTCACTATATCATTCTATCAATGTAAAATGTAACAAAAATTAAAGTAAAAGGGAACTTGACTTGCCTTACCCATAAAAGCAGGAAATGCAGTCTTTAACCCCATTACATCCACAAACCTCTCACATGCTGGAGGATAATTAGTCATTGCAAAATCCAACGCCCTTATAGCTGATCCATAGCACATTTTCTTCTGATTCATAATAATGATCATCAATTCCACACCTTCAGATTTCACAAACTTCTCTTTATTCTCCAAAGGCATTAACAAACAACACAAGGCGTCAAACAAGTTCTCAACCATCTCTTCCTCATCTGGAGTCTTAGGGTCCTTCGATTTATACATTGCTACAGCTTGTAACAATGCGTCCACACCGTTCAATTGCCCTAATCTCTTCTGATTGGCCGTGCTGCTCTGCAGCAAAATAGCCAAAATCTCCGATGCATACTGCTTGTTTCCATCAAATTCTCTTACCTTTATTCTTGTCAGCAACCACTTCATTAACTTAGTCCTTTCACATACAAGTTCCGCCACCGAGGGTTTCACTTCAATAAAATTCTCAACAGTCGCGAGTATACTATATATGGCAGCGGACTCGTCCGGATCGGAGTCAGACATTTTACCTAGAAGCTGAACGAGCAATTCTAACGCATTGTTCTCAACCAATGAATCAACTAAAATTTGCGCCGGCTCGTCGTTGTCCTCGAGAACATCCTCGTCGGTCAGGTCTTGTAATAAGCCGACAACGTCAATAGCGATGTCAGTGTTTTCGTGATTGAGGAGGCTGGTGATAGACGCAATGGTCCCGAGATTCACGAGTTCCGGGTAAAATTCGGGGCCTCCGGCGAGTATTTTGAGCTTTTCGATTTCTTCATGGAGCTCGACTTCGGAATCCGCGAACTTTTCTGGTTGGTCCGGGTACTTGAGACGTGCAGCAATGTTCTCCTTAAGACGGCGTTCGAATGCAAGGACGAGTTTTTTCACTGTTTTGATATCGAGAACTTCCACAGGGTTTTGTTGAGATTTTTCTAAGGCTTCGAGCAGTGAAAGGTCGATCCCTCCGTTTGCGGCGGCTGAGGACGGCGGCGGCGGTGGTTTGAATGTGTCGTACTCATCTTCTTCGTACTCGGCAGAGTTTCGCTTGCGTTTTGCTGCTTCCATAGCTTCTGGCCAAAACCCTTAGCTCCCCCAGTAGCAGCAGAAGAGCTTCTCACACACAAATCACCTTTTCCCTTTTCACCCCTTCATTTTTCTGCTTGATACTTCATACACCTCTAATCTATGAAAATTGCTTGGGAGACCCCAAAGTTTTATTTAATACATAAATAATCCTTCATTTATTAATAAATTTAATTTAGAGTTTCAACTTGGAACTTATTTCAATTGGTCACTGTAAGTTTCAACTTGGAACTTATTTCAATTGGTCACTTAAACGCAGAATATGGTGTTTTTAGTAGACACTTTCAATTTAAAAAAATTTCCAAAATAAAAATAAAAATGCACATGTTATCCAGCTTTCGCTATATAAATAAGTTAAATACATAAAATATGTTATTATATTAAATCTCAAATCTATTTTAATTGAAATTAACACGTATATTTTAAGTATATAATATATATTATGTGGTTAAATACTTGTAAGTTTTTTAACTATTATTTTGAATACAAAACTTCATAAATCTTTGTTTAATTCGTTAATTTATTATCAACGAACATTTACTCTATACATATTTAATCGAGTCAATAAATTTTTTGATTTGTGAATCTTTAACTTCTTTATTTCGTATGTGAAGTTATTATTAATAGTCATAATATAAGTGCAGAATAGGTGCGTACATGATTGGGTTGGTTCGAATTTTTTAAATATCAAATCATTTGTGTCAATTCTTAAATTTATAAACCAAACTAAACTTATAAAACTCGCGGGTTTTCAATCTCAGATTTTTTCTAGTTGGTTTGAGTTTTTCAAATATCAAATCAAACCATTTATGTCGAATTTTAAAATTTTAAATCAAAACAAACTAATAAACCTCGATTTTTTTGGATTTTTTCAGTAAACTATTCATACAAACATATATTTAACGTGTGCTCCAAATATTTCTTTAGTCCAATAAAACTATTTAAGGTGTTTCTTAAGAAAATAACACAAAATATGAGATAAGTGATGACACTAAAATATTCAATAACAAATGATAATAAAAATCGTATAAAATAAATATTGTAATTGATAAGTCATAATAAAAATGATAATAAGTTAAAGTACTAAATTATGCTAAAATAAGTTTAATAAGTATTAATTACATGATTAAACATCAAAGAAAAAATAAAATTAGGTTATATAATTTGGAAGTCTAAATCAATGTAAAAAGTAAAGTCCAAATATTCAACGTTGTTGTTTTTCTTAAATCTCGGTGTTGAGTTAATTTTTTTTGTTAGCATTAATACTGATTAGATTTTGAAACGAGCTTTATTATAGATACTAATTACTAATATTTATGAACTATAATCTTTATTGGACCATTCAAAATTCTAAATCTCAAAAAGCTTGAAAAAGTATGTTAAAAAAAAGAAAACATATAAGTAATATTTAGAAATTACATCAAAGTAAAATACTCTAATGTATAAAATAAATTTTAAAAATTTTATTTATAATTTCGGGTTAATTTGATCTCAGCCGTTGTATTAAATAATACAAAGCATTCAAAAAGAATTGTAGAGAAAATATATAAAAACGCGTGGACGGCAGGATTCGAACCTGCGCGGGCAGAGCCCACATGATTTCTAGTCATGCCCGATAACCACTCCGGCACGTCCACCTTGTTTGCAATAAAACCTTTATTTTCTAATTTATATCAAACAAAACAAAACTATATCTGGAGAAGCTTCTACAACTCCACTAATATTCATTGACAGGTGGATTCTGTATAGCAACAGTCAGCTTCTTCGTCTTCTTCTCTTATAATATATATCAATTCCTTAATCTCTTCCACACACAGAGAAAGAGAAAGATAGAGCTCAATTCCAGCTGATTGAAAAATGGCAAATCAGAAAAGGGTTCTCTTACTATGTGGAGATTACGTTGAAGACTATGAGGTTGCTCTCTTTTTCTTTTCTTTTTTTTTCACATTCTTGATTTCTACTTAGTGTGTTATGAGTATATGTTAAAATGGTTAATCGGTTACTGATTTTTTTGTTTTGTTTTGTTTTGTTTGTTATTGTTCAGGTGATGGTACCATTTCAAGCTCTACTAGCCTATGGACTAGCCGTTGATGCTGTTTGTCCTGGAAAGAAATCCGGTGACATTTGCCGCACTGCCGTCCATCAGCTTTATGGTCACCAGGTCAATTATTTTCTCTATCTTGTCTGTTAGTTTGAATCCGCATAGTTCTTCTAAGCGCTATGTTATGTAATGTGATTATTTACTAGTTTTTTGGAGTAGATTCTTGGTGAATAGCTTTGATCTGTCTGGCAACTCTGATAAAGACAAGGGTTGAATTTTGAAGTAGGTCAAAGCTAGTCTATTAATTAGAGCCTGATACATATGATTCATATAGTGGATCTCAATCAAGTCGAAAAAATGATTATAGTTTGCCATTTTGTGTATACCTAATTGACTCATGCTGGATTGCATTGGATCGTAATGTTTTCGTTCACAGTACGGATATATGCTCTTATGATTTCTGTTTGAAAATTGGATACCCATTTATTACAAAAAGTAAAAGGTTAAGGCTTTAGAGTTATTGGAGTATGATTTGAATCTGCATAATTCTTATCTATGATTATTATTTCTCAAGTAGTATTCGGGTTGACTTTTAGATGTTTAATGAGTAGAACTTACCCTTTGACTAATACTGGATTGTAGTTGAAGATTGAAACTCGATTTGTAGATGTGTTCATTTATTATGAGTTTGAATTCAAGGAAATAAAGGAGCTTTCATTGCTGATGGACGTAGAACTTATGATACTGGGATCTTCAAGTGTAGTTTCTAGCTTTCAAGAAATCGGATGTTGCATCTCTATATGCAGACCACTTAGCTCATAATAATTTACAGCTGAGGGCAAGAGACGTGGTGGATGAGTTCTTAGTCAAGGAGAGTCATCGTTGAACAATTTAGCTAGATATAGGCTGGCCAATTGGAGTTCTAGGTTTTAGACAATTACAACAATTCTTTAACCAAATTATATGTGTATACTCACTTGTACACATGGCTTTGAGCAATGCACTAATTTTTTCCTATTCATTTGTTATAGAATTTGAATTTGTGATGGTATTAATGTTTTGTGGTAGCAGAGTCTTATTTAGTTTCAAAATTGTTTCAGACATATTCAGAGTCCCGCGGACACAATTTTGCTGTTAATGCAACCTTCGATGAAATCGAGGCTACAAAGTATGATGGCTTGTTCATACCAGGAGGACGTGCTCCAGAATATCTGGCCATGAATGAAGCTGTGTTGGACTTGGTGAAAAGTTTTGCCAACACTAAAAAGCCAATTGTCTCTGTCTGTCATGGACAACTGATCCTGGCGGCTGCAGATGTGGTCAGAGGTCGAAAGTGCACAGCTTATCCTGCTGTCAAGCCGGTGCTTGTTGCGGCTGGTGCCCATTGGGAAGAGCCAGAAACCCTGGCCTCATGTACCATCGATGGTAATCTCATCACTGGATCTACTTACGAAGGAAACCCTGATTTCATTCGACTCTTTGTTAAGGCACTCGGTGGCAGCATAGTTGGTTCTGGTAAAAGAATCCTATTTCTATGTGGGGTAAGTTAATGATCATGTAGCATTATCTTTTTTAGCTTAGAGAATTTGAAATGCTGAGTTTCAAATTGCAGTTTACTAGTAAATGTTAGTATATGAACCAAATTTACAGATTATGGTATGACTTGTGACCTTTGAAACAACTTCCATCCCACTCCTAAATTTAACTAGTTCTGTTGATATGTAGGTGAAAGAAATTTCTCCTTACTGAAATTCCAATATGTGCCATAATAAGATTCTCTCTTTATGTTTATTCGCATAGTTTGTGTCATATTTTGCTCTCCACATGTTGGTGAGGCATCAGATAATCACCTGATATTGTTTGGAATGGCATGCCTGCGTACATAAGAAAGAGACTCCAGTTTGACCTGTCATCTTAAGTTTGACAGTATAGATTGATTATTATCAGCTGTAACTTAGTTTTGGTAGTGTGTGCTCCTATGTCTCAAGGAGGATTTGTTGAAGAAGATGAGATGTAGACTGTCATAGATGCTAAAGAATAAATAAGAGCTTTTCAACTTTGTTCTTTCGAAGTGCTATATTAGCAAGTGGTGCATCTCTTTGTTGTAAAAGCGAATAGTATTGTAACTTAAAAGTTCACCCAGGGAGCTTGTAGTAACTTTCATAGCACATTTTTTGGGAAAAGGTCTTTGCTGCATATGCTAATGTATTATTCTCTTTTCAGGCCATTGCAGAGCGCCTTTTACCTTTAAATGAACGTTTAACTATTAGTACTGCTTTATCATATAGGATTACCAACCTCATTCTTTTAAGGAACGTGATATCGAAATTGTCTCTTGAAGATGATATCTGGCTACTCTATCCTCCATGTTCTTTATGATCAAGGGTCGCAGTTCTTGTCATTCTCTTGGAGGATTGTTTTATTTGGATCATGAGCTGTTTATTAGCACATTTTAGTAGAGCTTCCTCCAAATAGAAAAGAAAAAGAACCCTTTCCTTACTCTTTCCCCACCTACGTGAATCTATGCAATCTACAGAAGTTATTGATGGTGGCCGACTCCTTGAGTTATTTATCTGAATTGCAAATTCCATACAGAATTAGTGAGGTTCACGGTTCACCTTGAACAGGATATACAGTTTTTAAAAAAAAGGTTTTTACAACTCATGATTTATGAATTCCCGTGTCTTACCTGTACTACTCGGCCAAACTATCTACACAATCGGATTAGATGTACTTCTTGCTTGATTTATATTTTTATTTCCCTCGAGTCACTCTTTTCCGCTTTGTTGATCATGTTATCATATTTCCTGTTACTTTATCTAATTGAAGCCATTGGTCTGGGGTCTGGGCATCGGATGTCTTGAAAGATGTTCCACTAAGTAGAAGGCTTGAAACTACCACGCTAGAGCCTTTATTTTTTCAGTATGAGTTACCTGGCTAGTATCACGGATGTGTGCAGATTTCATATTTAGAGTTCTTCTCTGCTCTGGTCTCAGACTGTTAAACTTGTATTAGATTGACATCTTATTTAGCAACTAATTTGAGCGCCCTTGTGTCTACTTTCTTTTGGGTGTAGGATTTCATGGAAGACTATGAAGTCAAGGTACCTTTTCAGTCCCTCCAAGCTCTTGAATGCCATGTTGATGCTGTTTGCCCCAAGAAGAAAGCCGGAGAGAAATGCCCCACGGCTGTGCACGACTTTGAAGGTGACCAGACTTATAGTGAGAAGCCAGGTCACGATTTTACCCTGAATGCCAATTTTGAAAGTGTGGATGTTTCAAGCTATGATGGACTTGTAATTCCCGGAGGCCGAGCTCCAGAATACCTTGCCCTGGATGATGATGTTATTAAGTTGGTCCAGGAATTTATGGAGTCCAAAAAACCAGTTGCATCAATCTGCCATGGGCAACAGATACTATCTGCTGCTGGTGTTCTCAAGGTATCTTATCTCTCTTAACATCATTTAGAATGGAAGTTTAAAAAGTTAGGTGCTTACATGATGTTTGAGGAACTTTTTATACTAAGATGTTGTGATAAAATTGATCCCATGCAGTAACTAGAACATGTTATCTTCAGAAATGAGATAAAATGAAAACATGTGGTGTGTGCAAACTCTAATCCGTGTTCTCGTTAAACAATTACAGGGTAAGAAGTGTACTGCGTACCCTGCTGTGAAACTTAACGTGATACTAGGAGGGGCGACATGGCTAGAACCAGAACCAATAGACCGTTGCTTCACGGACGGACATCTTGTGACGGGGGCAGCTTGGCCAGGTCATCCTGAGTTTATTTCTCAGTTCATGGCACTGCTTGGAGTGCATGTAAAATTTTAGGCTACTTGTTTGTTTGACATGTTTTGCCAGGTGATGAGAATAAATTTTTTTTAATTGTAACAGAATAATGAGTGTGTTTTTATAATGTTCGAAAATCACTAAAACTACTGATGTCCGCATAAATGTACTCCCTTGGGAATTCTAAATGTGACTTTTTTACCTATTTACTTAGAGGGCGTTTGGTAGGATGTATTAAAAGAAATAATCCATGTATTAGATGTGGTATAATTCAATGCTGTGTTTGGTAGGAATGTGAGCCTATGTATAACTAATCCATGGATTAGTTAATACATCCTACATGGTATTATGTGATGTATTGCTAATACCTTCCATTTGGAGGTATTAGCTCTAATACTATGGACTATTCTAGGTAAAGACAAAAATATCTCTCAAATTCTTTTAATATTTAATTTATTTTTTTGATTTTATATTTTATATTTTATATTTATACTAATAAAGTTATTTAAATAAATTAGCTTACAACTTTTATTATTTAGATATAATTTTTTGTTTCTAAAATATGAATTACTTAATCTATTTATTATTAATATAAAATATTATAATCCGACTAATATGTTAATGCTTGTATGAATTTAAGAACAATTCATAAGTAAAATATTGTTTCTTAATGAAAGTTCATTAAACATTACACAAGTAGTTTAAAACAAGAGTGCGTGTATATATACATATATACACACTCATTTCGAGTATAAAAACAGTTTAATTTATTTTTCTATATTTATTTTATATTTTTATTTTATTTTATGATAAAGAATTTTTTAAAATTTAAAGTTCAATAATTTTTCTCTATAATCATTATAGTTGTGTGACCTTTTGAGTTATTAACTCTAATTTATTAAGATGACAATTATTTACTCTTAAATAATTTAAGTGATAAAATAGTGAACATGACAATAAAAATTTTATTCTCCTAACTAGTTAAAAATGTTATAAAAAAATAATATTCTCCGTTAATTATCTACTTTGACTCAATTACATGAAATACAAAATCTCATAATAACTCTAGGGTATAATTGGAAAGTTTTTTTAAAAAAACTTTTAAACCACACACAAAATTAGATAAGAAACAATGAACCAAACGCTTGATAAAAATAATTCCTGCATTATTCATTTTTGTATCAAAATAAAGGGTAATATTGAAAGAAAAATGATTAAATTTATCTTCAATTGTTTAAATAGTCGAGTAAAATGAAAAAGAGTTATACATAATTTGAAAATTGGCCAAATGATTATACCCAGCGGCTACCACAAATACTATATTTAGAAGTAAATGAATCGACATACAGTCACCTCCAAAAGAAAATGGGAAGTCATTGATAAGTTAACATTCCAATCTAGCAAGAGAACTATAGTTAGAGTTGTTAATTATAACGAGGAGAAGGTTCTTTGCGATTTCCAAACAAGGATTAAATCCACGCACTTAACTAATCGATAAGTGGATTATTGAGTACTTATTAATTTTATCTTGCCAATTATACTCTATGATCTTCTTGTCCTACTTTAATGTAGTCCCCTAAAATTAAATGGACAGTGGTTGTTTCTTGACAACCTTTTCCACTCAATTTCATTTTAGGGCAAAAGCAACTATCACTGTAATTACATTTTTGTTAAATTCAAGAAAATTGTCCAAAGTAGTAATAGATATTTTTCTATATAGAAGATAGAATATTCACTGTAAAAAGAAAGATATTTAATTAATGGAGAACGTGAGGCTGTTAGGTCAAGCTCTCAAGGAGTCAGCACAACTTTGTCCACACGTAACTACAAGTTGTCCTCTAGTTATGTTAGGTCTGATTTTGCTCTGGAAAATTCAGCGACAACACTTTGTCTTCATCTATTCATAGTCTTCAAAAGTGAATCAAATTGCCAACCTGATAATGACTTCTTTTTGTTTTGTTTTGTTTTCTGCTCAGTATCACATATGTAATGGTAGTGAGGTTTAATTAAATTATATATTCGAATATATTATATGACTTATTTTTTAAGGCGATATTTTCAATTAATAGACTTTCATTTCTAGAGATCGAATATGAGACTCATTCATTCCCACTGGCGGATTCATAATTTTCATTAGGAAGGTTCGAGTAGTGCCTAAGATTTGATCTTGACAAAGTGAGTTTTGAACACCTCAATCACTAAATCAATCTCTAATCATATATTCAGAAAGTTCAAAATCAATATACTTTTTTTTAAAAAAAATATACTTTTAAAATACAATATATTTTTTTATTAAAGGGGTTTAGATGAAGCCCAAGATGATTTTTAACATGTTGAATAGGCGGCTCTTGTATATTGGTCCTAGTTGAATGAAAGCCGAAAGTTGTTGTCTATTTTTTAATTTGCTAATTATTTTCTTAATTATACTTTCCTATATAATTAATTAGTGTGTGTCTAACTAATCCCACTAATAAATGTCTGCTGCACATAGTGGATTAAGTAATGTTTAGTAGTCCCTATTTACTTATTCATATTTTCTCTTTTAATTATTTCTATTACTTGTCTATTTTGACAAATCAAAAAAGGATAAAAAAAGTTTTTTTATTATATTCTTATTTAATTTTTTTAGAAATTTCTAAATTTTAATCCATCATTTTTAAAATCATAATTAATAAGGATAATATTATAATTTTACTATGTTAATTATTAGAGACAGTTAATTGGATCAAATTAATTATTACACAACCTAATTAAACCTAATTTGATAGGTAACTTTTCCATCTACAGCAAAGACATATCATAATTTATCGCGAATATATCATAACTAGTCCAAGCTTATGATGAAAATGTTAACATCTTGTCCTAATTATTTCATTTAGTATATAATTTTATATACAAGGAAAATATAATAATTTCTTAGTTTATATTATAGTAACAATGATTTTCATTTTTTGGTGCTTAGAAATTGATTGAGAGATACTGATATTTATGTTTATCGACAGTAGTAGATTTATATAGTATTGGTTCTTAAACCCTCTAATCGATTTGCTTTATTTATACAGCTAAGAAGGAATTAAAAAAATCCACCGTTAGGGTTTCTTTAAGTTTGAAAACTTACAAATGAAATTTGTAATTTCTTGATATTTTTGATAAATTGATGATTAAATTTTGTTAATAAAATTTATGTACGTAATCTTACCCTACTGCGGGGTGCTGGACCATCATCACAAGTGGATTGTTGGTCTCACACTTGCGCACAGTTGTGCCCATAGATGGGTGACTCATCGTAAATTAATTTATTTTATTTTGGCCAAATACATATGCAGGTCCCTAAAGTTGTTCGCATTTTCCCTCTAGATACCTCAACTAACCAAGATTCATATTAAATCCTTTAATCCCCTGTAATTTGATCCTTTTAAATATTCTTGGCTGATGTGGAGCCAAATTTTAATAAATTATTTTTGGTAATTAGGCGCGTGAGATGATCCTTCCCCACGTGGAAATTTTGACCAATACACTCCAACCCAATTACACGTCAGTGCCACATATTAAGTCATCAAACCTAAAAATCAATTTCCCCTCAAATCACTTCTAACCCGTTTCTAAACGAGAAAACCCTAAGAATCTCTCCCTTTCAATGACTTTTACAGCTGAAATTCTTAGATTTTAAAGTGATTTCGAGTGGATTAAAGTGATTAAAGTGAAATTCTTAGATTTTAAAGTGATTAAAGTGATGAAATTCTTAGATTTTATAGTGATAAAAGTGAAATTCTTACATTGGAACTTGATGATTAAGAAGAAATCAATGAAAAAGAGATAATATAATGAGCTAAATAGGAGAAATAATGATGAAGAGAAATAAAAGAGGAGAAAAAATGGAAGAATGGGAGAAATTAGGGTTAAAAGGGGGAAGAAGATAGTTGGTGGGTGGGTTTAAGATCCGCATCAGCGTTTTTAAAGAGTCTGCACGCACTTAAAGGACGTGAGATCACGTTTGGCTCCACATCAGTCAAGAATATTTAAATGGATCAAATTATAGTGGGTTAAAGGATTTAATAGAAATCTTGGTTAGTTGAGGTACCTGGGGGAAAAGCGCAAACAACTTTAGGGACCTGCGTATATATTTGGCCTTTTATTTTATACATATAAGCAAAAATAAAGAAATAATAATAATAAAAATATATATATATATATATATATATATATATATATATATATATATATATATATAAACTACTCAATAATTCTGATTCCCTTTCATTTGCTTCAGTCCAATTCC